GTCAGAACCCCAGGAGTGAAGCTGCCTGCCTACTCAACATGTCGGTCTCGCTCAGAGGCACAACTGATGTTTCAGACGCACGAAGCAGAAGCCAGTAGCAGCCTCTTTCGTCTGCTGACTGGCTGCCTCCCCCTGCCTTCCTGTGTTTGTTCCTTGGCAGCTGTAGGCACTGCTAGTGGCAAACACCGGGACAAGGCTGGAGCTCATCACACCCCAGCTCGTGAAGGCCAGCAGGGCAGCGCTGAGGTACGCAGGATCCTGCTGAGGGTGCGGCACCTTACATTCTGGAATTCCCAGGCCTACATGTCAGAGAGAACCTCCTTCGCTCTCCTTTGGTAAAAGCGAAGTGAAGATCAGTGGCCTCAAAGAGACGCTTCTCCTACAGTCACGTCCACTCATGTAAAACGTACCTGCCACTTAAAAGGACACAGTGTTCAGAAAATCATATGAGGAAAATAACGTGTATGGTAGTGATGGTGGTAAACAAACAGCTCACCTTCACGAAAAGGAAATTATAAAACATCAACAGCTCTGCCTGGAGCTAGTAAGTAATTAAGGGAACTCTGGTGTGGTGGGTAGAAAGTTATTTTGCGAGGGGTACAGGGACACATGCTGAATTTATAGAAGCATTCCCCTCCTTCTGCGGAGGATGGATCTGCAAGGCAAAGAAGTTTCTGGTGCAACGGTGTTTATATATACTGCGTACAATACTTTGACTATTTGAATTTTTAATCATACATGCAATTCTAAAAGGTTGACTCCATTAATTATTACTTTTATTATGTTTTGAAGCTAACATTTTTCCCTAGATAACCCGTGTTTAATTATATGGCACTCAATGGGGAAAGTGACAATTTAAATAATTTTGTTTAGAGTCGACAAGAGAAAAATTGAGCACAGGCTCTGGAGCTAGACTTGTCAGCTGTGTGACCTCAGATCAAGTTACTTAACCTTTCTGTGCCTGCTTCCCTAACTATAACAACAGAATTATATTTTATTTACCTTATAGGTCCATGGTGGCCATTAAGTGAGATAATTCACAATCATTGAGAACAGTGCCTAGTACCCGGCATGCATGCCCCACTGTCAGGCAATGCTATTTAGTTCAGTAAAGTGAAATTTCTTTAGTTAGGAAGAATACCTTTGTATGGCATATGACTTTAGTACCATTTTCATTGAACTTACGTCCTTTTTTTTTTTGGTCTATGCTAGTCTACCTTTAATGGATACCATGAACTGTAGCGAAGTAATTTAATGATTTCCATTCTGTTCCTTGCAGGCCTCCCTTTACTGTTCCCAGGTTGGAAGTGAGTGTCACAGAGATCAGAGAATACTGGATGTGTTTTACTGGGTTTGCTTGGAGGACCTCGGGGTTGGCAGCCAGGGTGGGGAGAAGCACTACGGCAAGGTGTGCAAAACGTTTTGCTGAACTTGTGGTCTGTAAACCATAAAACATCATCCAGGTCACTGATGTGGGGATCAGAGGGCTTGTGGCATTTATGACAAACCCTATGATTCTTTCATTACGACATAGCTCTTATAAATGAATAATTCTGGGCCACTATTCCCAAAGAAAGAAAATGTCAACCTCATTTTACCTGTCTTGCCAATGATTTCAGCTCACCTTCCCAGAATATCTGATCTTGGCTTAAGCCATTAATAACCTCTGACACACTCCCAGCAGCTGGGTGTATATTTCTGAAGAGCTGTGAATGGTTAATGTATCTGGGATTCTATGATGTATATTTGCTTTTAAGTGACCCCTCTTGGCCCTTGCTAGACATTTAAGCTTCAGAAAAATAGATTCCACGGGTGCTACCTCCTCTGTAAATCCCATGGTGCCAGGTCCAATGATTGCTGTTCAATAAGCAGGACTCAGGCACTAACAGAGACAGACAGCAGCTGAACACGCATGTGCCTTTCCATCAGGCTTCAAGAGAGACCAAAGTCACTAGGAGAAACACGGTCCAGCCCCAAGTCCACCTAATCCTGTCTTGTCCACCCTCTGGAAAAAACAGCACAGCACGATGCCCAAATCACTTGCCCATACCCAGCGAGTCCCCTAACCACAACTACTTCATTTTACAGATAGAGGATGATGACAATAATCTAAGTTACAGTTAATTGAGTGCTTACTATGTGTTAGGGACTGTTTCGAGTCATTTGCATGTACCATCTCACTTAATTCTCAGAACAAGCCTTATAAGGAAGATAAAATATGAATTTCCCATTACAGTTAAGAAAACCAAGGTCACACACCTGGTATGTGCTGGGGCTTAAACTCTGAGTCTAATTGCGGAACCTGTGCCCTTAGCTATGGAAAATGTACAGCGATGTAGCAATTACCAGAACTATGTATTTCCTCAAAGGCGGGTGGGTAACAATCATAAATGGTCTCAAACCACACAAAACCCACAAAGAATTTTGCAGTTTCAACTCCGACTCACAGGTTCAGTGTCCCGAGCATTGTGGGGAGTCCAGGAGAAAAGAAACGAATCTGAAATAGCTCTAGCTCCTCAGGAGCTCCCAGGCCAGAGGTGGAAACTGCCTGTTCAAATACAATGTGATCAGCACCCCTGCAGCGTCAGCCTAGGGTAACAAACCGGGCGTTCGTGTGTTAGGGAGATGGATGGGAGAACACACTCCACGCTTGTTTAGTCTTCGACAGAGCGTGTGACATGGAATTGCCGCTGGGTAAGGACACCTCCCTTTATGGGTTCATCTTGTCCCTCGAATTCATAAGACAATAAAACTGTACCGCCTGGCAATCGGTCCTCACCAATATGCCGTTCTCAAAATTCTTCTCCCATTTTACTTACAAATGAAGCTGCAACCAAGTCACCCTGCCAACACGGTCACGGTGAAAATTTCACACTCGATGTTTCACTAATCATACTGAGAGACATCGATGTTATGTTTGGGAATGCTAAATGCTCACCGATAGGTGAAAAGTGTTATTTCTTTGAACTGCAGCATGTTTGAAACAGTTTCCTCCCACAAATCAAAAAGCCCCGACTACATCACACTGATTTAATTCAACTCTAAAAACTCTAATTAGTGGTTACATAAAGTGACTAATTACATCTCTCTGGATGCCATCTCACGTAAAGAGCCTAGGAGCTGTGTAATCAAACAACCCACCCCCAGGAAGGAGAATGCTAATTAGCATTGTTGATGGGTGATACAAGTTATAATACTTCCAGCAACCCTGTAAAATTTATAAACATATCGCTGAAAATGCCAGATTCTTTACAGCCTGCTAGCTTTTGGAATAAGCGTCTAAAAATACATGCATTTCCAACCACAGCCCCGGAAAAGGAAAAAAAAAAAAAAAAAGGTGTTAACGAAATGCACGTGCCAGCTACACAATCACCATAATAAAGCCGCTCTAGTATCTCTTAACGAGCAGCTAAGAGAGCTCACAACACCTTCGCGGTGCGAGCTTGGTACCTGGTTTGAGGACGTGAAAACTGAGCAACAGATTTCTTCTGGGCTCCAAGTCTCTCTCCAAGCTCATCTCCCGGCCGCCAGGCCGCGGCTCCGCCCCACTCCTGCCTCCGCCACTGACGCGTTTAAAATTTTCTAAAGCTTCACGCCGCTGCGGGCGCGTTGCTCGGGGCAGTTCAAACCCTGCAGGGGGCACGGAGGTCCTGCCCCTGGCGACGCTGCCCCGGCGCGGCGCGCTTTGCTGCGACCCGGACCC